GACACCAAGTGCCAGGAACACCCATAGGGATGGCTGAGGGGACACCAAGTGCCAGGAACACCCATAGGGATGGCTGAGGGGACACTCAGCATCAGGGACACACACAAAAATAGCTGAGGGGACACCAAGAGCCCTGGACACCCTTAGGGATGGTGCGCGGTGACACCCAGCACCAGGAGCACCCATAGGGATGGCTGAAGGAACACACGCACCCAAGGACACCCCCAGGGCCGCCATGAGGGGTCCCTCGTCCCCAGCAGCACCCCCAGGTCCCGCCGGGCGACCAGGAGCCCCYCGGGGTGGCTCTGCGGGGACACGCAGCTCCCGGGACCCCCCCGGGCCGCCGCGCAGCGCCCACCCCCCGCATGGCGGCCGCGCCGGGCCCGCGCGCCGCCGCCATGGCTCCCGCTTCCCGCCGCCGGCCGGGCCGCGGCCTGGGCGCCGCGGGGCCCCGCCGCGCTCCCCGCCGGCCCCGCACAGCCCGCGCCGGCCACGAGGAGAAGGGAGAGGCGCGGCGCTCACCTGCCCGCCGCGGGGCGGCCCGAGCTGGGCCGCTGGCTGCCGATGGCGGCAGCGCCCGGCGCCGCGGGCTCGCCCGGCCGCGCCGCTCCGCTCCGGCCGCTGCCCGCCGCGCTGCTGCTGGTGCAGGCGCGGGCGGCGCCTCCTCCGCCGCCGGCCGCGGGAGACATGCGCCGCAGGGCCGCGGGGAGGCGCGGGGCGGCCGGGCCCGGCCGGGGGCGGCGGGCAGGCCGCCATGTCGGGGGGCAGTCCCACGGCGGGCGCCCCGCGCCGTTTGCGGGGGCAGCCGCGGGGCCCCCCGTTTGTGAGGGGAATTGGGGGCTCTTTGTTTGACCGGGGGGGTCGGCCAGTGCTCCAGAGCCCCTTGGGAGGGCAGCGAGGAGGGTCCTGCCGGCTACAGAGTCCCAACATCACTGCGAGCCCCGCGCCCCCCACACACACTTGGCAGGGAGAAATGGGGCATTTCATGCGTTTTAGCGAGTCTCGGCATCGTTGCRAGACCAGTGCCTCCCAAACAGTTGTTTCCCCCCAAAACACGAGGCTCGAGGCCGTCCTGGCCTGCTAGCTGCTGCAGGGCGCCCAGGTTGGCTGGTTCCCCACTCAGCCAACCCACCTTTAATGCAAAAGGGGCAAAAATCAGTCGTGATTTTTGTGCACAAACATCTCCACGCTTTGGCAGGTGGAAAAACACCAAACCTGCCCTGATCCTGCCTGTTCCRAGACGTGGGACCTTGCTGTGCCCCTAGCCTGTGCCACTTATAATAATACACACACTCATCTTAYCTCCTGCGCTTACCATAGATAAGACAGGGCTGATATGTCATATTCCTCCCTCTTTCCCTTTCCCCAAGATTCCTAACGCCCTTTAACGCTCCCAAACCACTAGCTCGAGCAGCACTGCTGCAAACAGCACCCTGTGCAGAAGGGAACATTAAATCCCCTATCCCCCATCTGCCAAATCGTGCCACAGAGGTGAGGAAACTCTGCTCCTTTCATCATGTTCCTCCTCGTGCTGCTCCAGAGGAGAGAAAGGGCCCTTGTGTTCGTGTTTCCTCCCAGGCCAAGCTGATCTGCATGTGAATGCACTTTAAAAGTAAAATTAAAGTCAAAGCTGGGGCCGGGAGCCTGATGAATGTTCTTGTGCGCGTGCCCTTGCTCRGGAGGCATCGGCTGTTGAACCCTTCCCAGCGCCGGGATCTGCTCATCCCCTTTGAGGCGATAAGTCGGGAGTAAAAACTGCTGCTGGGTCCATGCGGAGCTCAGATTATTGCTATTTCCTTTTTCTTCATCAGGAAAAATAGAAACAATGAGGATTAAGTGACTTACCTTGCAGTTGGTATCAGCTCCAAGGACAGTTGCGATTGTTGTACTGAGCTGTGCTAAAACTCCAGGCATTTCTGCAGTGTTGTCCTTTTTCTGGGAATAGGGATCCTGTCCCTTATCTGTGCCCAACAGCTTCAGGCTTTGCAGACCCTTTTCTTCTACTTGTGGCACTTTCGCAATCCCCAAACACATCCCTGAGTTCTGGGGTGAAACCAAACGTCAAGTGCCAAATCAGCTGCTGCCCTTGAGTTTTTGGTGGAAGCAGCACAGATGGAAAGACCCAGGTGAAGTCCAGTCTAAGCCTCAAGCTCCATCAGTATTTGGGGTACAAATACTGCATGGCTTGACCAAACTCCACGTGACTCAAAGTTATTGAACTTTATTTATTCAGGAACATTATTTTGGTGGGTCAAACCRGGACTCTGGCTCCCACCTTGTCCTGTCGTTCAGTTCCTTCGGCCTCCTTGCAGGCAGCTGCACGGARGACACCCGCATCGTGTAGCAACATGGTAAATTGAAGAGTTTATTTGTTATTTAATAAATGCCAGGGAGACTCATGAGGCCTTGAAGTTGTAATAGAAAAATCTAATTTAGGAAGAAAAAGAGCAGACATGTCTCTGAAAGCTGCTGGCAAACAGCTCTGGATATTGAACATTTCTATTTACCCTCTGAAAGGAGCAGGGATGGTGTGAGCTCCTTATCAGCAGGGCTGTGTATCAGCTGGTGGGAGAGGAGGAGAAAAAGAAAAGCCTCAAATAAAGCAAAATTCCCCAAGATCACATCCAGGGGAAGAAAAGGGTCCTAATGAAGTTGTTTAATAAATGGCTCTATTAAACACATTTTGCATTCTTGAGTCCAACTGGTGAACTCCCCATAACTGTCCATGACCCAAAATGCAGCTGGAGAGGGGCACAACCTCTGGTTTTGAAACAGTCCCTTTTCCGTAGGGCCGACCCACAGATCTACCAGTCTGACCTAGGAGTACAGCCCGAGAACCACAACGCCAAGGGATTTGATTGCAGCCCTCCTSTTGCTGCCGTGCTGCACAGACCTGCAAAATTTCAAAGGAGGCGGTTATTCCYCTATCACATTTTGTAATGACAACCCTTTAGCAGTTGACAGATTCCTCCACTTCCCGGGACATTGTGGAGACGGGCAGCGGATACAGCCACTGTGCAGGGSACATGGGCAACGCGGTGGCTCCCGCCTTGGATCCTGGATCATTTCAGTGCTCGGGACAGGTCTTCGTGCTCTCCATGGCATTGTTCCTTCCATCCCAGGTCTTCACRCTTTCCATAGCACTGTCCCCTCCGTCCAGCCATGGAGCCTCTATCCAGCAGGGATGGTGATTAAAAGGGAGCGTGTGCTTCAAAACAGCCTGTTAAGGGACAAGATCAAAGAYACCGTGGGATAGATACATCCCATACAAAAAGAAAAGCAGTGGTGAAACTGAGATGTGGTTGCATCAAAAGGAAGCAGCTCTGCTTTGACTTTGCACTKCAACTGCCAAGAGCTCTTCCAAGAGGCAGGAGGGAAACCTCAATCACACCCGATCCAAGGGGCAGCAGTTCCTTCTGTCCCTCGGTGGGTCTGGGCTTTGGCTCTGCTAAGAGGTGGGGCACAGACTGGAGCCTGTGGGGCTGGAGCTGCTGGATGCCACCAGGATGGGCCCCTTTCAAAGCCTCTGTGCATCTTTAATGCCACGGAATTCAGGACTTACTGGTCCCTGTCATTAGGAGTGCCCCAAAGTGACTTTAGGAGAGTGCAAGGAGGCTCCATCAGTCACACACCAAGGCAGCCCCGCCGCTTTCCACGGAGGAACTCGGTTCCCAGCAGGGCCAGCCGGAGCCGARCCTGCTCCTGCATTAGCTCCGAGCCAGGCATTTTGAAAGGAGCCCCCTCCTAGGGAAGCCTCTCAGATCACCTYCAAGGAATACTCTATTTTTAGCCTTCTTGGACTCTCTCGGCTGCAAACAAGCGCAGCCTCCGCGGTGAGTTCTCACCAGGGGAGCTGGCAGGATTTGAGCGCTCCCCATTGAAGTCCAGCACAAAGAGCAAGTTGTGCCGAGGTCTCCGTGCTGCGGAGCCGAGTCCACAGCCAGGCACCCGCTGCGGATCCCGCTTTCCGGTGCCACGGGAGCTCACTGGGAAGGCGGAGGCCAGCGCTTTGGTGCCCAGCGGGTCTCATTTGCAGGCGGCTTTGCAAGTGCAGAGCACGCTTGTTGTGAGCAGGCTTTGGTTTGGCGTTTGCAAACATCTCCTGTTTGGCTCCGTGGCCAAAAGCCATCTTTAAAGGGGTTCTGGAGCAAGCCAAAAAAGCCACCACTACACTGAGATTTCAAACAGGGCCAGAGGGAGGTTGGGGAAGGGCTTTGAGGGGGCTCGTCCTCCAAATGAACACAGAGCAGGTCACCCTCAGCAGGGCAGCCAGACCCGACGGGACTCTGCAGGGTAAAGGGATCCCCCAGGAGCGCAACCAGGCTGGATGGAGCAGCCTTTGGCAAACACATTTATATCATTTACCCATTTATTTTCCCCCAAACACATTTATATCATTTACCCATTTATTTTCCCCAGGCCTCTCTCTGCTCTCACCGATGCTGCTCAAAGTCTCCTCCCGATGCTTTGCGTTTTGCTGGATGCTCCTCTCTGCATCCCGCACATGCCAGGTGAGGGACGTGGGGCTGAGATGCTCAGTCCCTTATAGCCAGCGTGGCCGTGTCTGGTGGCCGAGGGGCTCCGTGGGACAGCGTGGTGTCCAGATGAGTGCGGGATATCAGCATCTGAGCAACCTGTAGCCACCTACACCATGGGCCGGAGGATGGRGCCGGCTGCAAGGAGCAGTGGGAGGAGAAGACCAGGAGCTGAGACACGGCAGCAGCCGCCTTTGGGACACAACCAATATTTCCTCGTGACTTGCAGTTTGCAGGGCCCTGATCCATACACAGGATCAGAGCTCCCACCTCCTGCTATGTTGCAGGAAGGGAGAAGTCCATCCACCCTCTTGTTCCCTGTGGAAAGGGGAGCCAGGAGCAACAAGGAGTGATGCTGGTGCTGCTGAAGAGGAGGAGGAGGGTCCTTTTAGCTGCTTGCTCCCATCTCAACCACAGTGATGTATTCGAGGGGCCCTGGCACGTCTGCTCAGAGGCAGCCCTAATACAAATCCAGCTGAGCAATAAAATTGCTCCCAGTGCTGCCAATTCCAGGCTCAGGGTGTGTGGCCAGCCTGGCTGCAGCCAAAAGGAGCCTTTTACATTGTCATTCCATGCACCAACCTTTTAGCTGTTACCCCTTGCCCTGCTCCTTGCAGCCAGCAGCAATTCAGCCATGCGGGGCAGTCAGCACAGCCACCCCCGAACCCTGCTCCCCACGTGCTTACAGCACAGAAAAACCCCTCTGGACTCATCCACGTGGCCCTGAGCATGTTCACACCTGCTGGCGGGCCTGCACCTTGCTCACAACCAGGCTGCTTTGCCATCCTGCCCCATCCACCTGCCTGCATTCGCACAGCGATCCTGGACTYGTCGTCCTCTAGATGGTGCAACCGCCATAAAACACCAGCTTTTCCCCCAAAGCAGCCAGGCGCCAAGCGGAGCCCCGTGAGCTGCAAGCACAAACACTGCTGCACCAGGGCTGGCACCCAGCAAGCAGAAAATGCYCCCCTTTACCAGGGCATTTATAGCTGGGAGCATCAGGCAGAGTGAASCCAGCTGGGTGCATCAGCCCCT